AAAAAATATATATATTTATATACAGAAATAGGGCAGTCAATTTTCCTCTCAAAGGGTTCCAAGTCAGGCGGTATGTACAACCCAGGCCAAATCCTTCTGAAGAGTAAGACAAAACAATGGCCTTGGTCAGTTGTTCCCAATCAGGCTGATAATTAGCATCTGTGGTAGAATTTAGAAATGAAAACCAATCAAACAAAGGTCCTGGGTCCCCTCCCCAGACCCTCCTTGCTGTATGAGTCGCAGGCATCTCTCAGGTTCCTCCCTAATACTCGTGAGCAGCCAGTTCTGTGAAATACTTGCCTGATGTGTAAACTATCAAGCATCTGGGGGTATGGTAAGAGTTTGAGGATTTTAAAAAATGTCCTTCCAGACAATCATTAACATGTAGACAAGCCCAATCTAGAGGAGTAGGCAAAGGGGGGCCATGTAGGGGATAGTCCCATATACACTTAGCAAATATAGTTTCCTGAAAAATTAAAATTAACACACCACATGCCATGTGCTGAAGGGGCCACCAATATGCATCCTTTTGTTTTCAAGCATTTGAAAAACGTAAAAAACATCCTTAGCTTGTGGGCCACACTCCAGCAGGCTGTGGACAAGACAGAGTCGTTCCCTGCAGGCCCTGTGATAGGGCAGATCTCCAGATGCTGTTCATCTTGTAGAACTGAAACGTTCTAGCAATTGAACCACAACTTCACTTACAAATTTGTTAATAGGGTAGATCTCATGTTACGTGTTCTTACTCCCCAAACACAAAAACAGATAACAAAAAGGGACATGAGGAGACTCGGAGAGGTGACGAATGTGTCTGGTACTTTGATTGTGGTGATGGCTTCACAGGTGTTTGCATAGGTCCATACTCATCCAATTGTATACATTGAACATGCATTATTTTGTATATCAGTTACCCCTCAGTAAGGCTGTTCAGAAACGAACAAACCAAACAATCGTGGGCCTCACTTGGCCCACAGACCTTAGTTGGCCAGCGGCGGTCTAGGGCAGTGATGGTGAACCTTTTGAACTTGGTGTGTCAGCATTTTGAAAAACCCTCACTTAACTCTGGTGCCGTGTCACACATAGAAATTTTTGGTATTTGCAACCATAGTAAAACAAAGATTTATATTTTTGATATTTATTTTCTATATTTAAATGCCATTTAACAAAGAAAAATCAACCAAAAAAAATGATTTCATGTGTCACCTCTGACACGAGTGTCATAGGTTCGCCATCACTGATCTAGGATGTACCTTGCCGTTCACGGAGCAGGGTGCAAAGAAACGATTGAGCATCTTTTAAATTGCACCGGAGTCTGGCATCTGTGCGTCATTGGTCCCCCCTGTGGAGCACTGGGCATGCGCGCTTTAGGGGTGCACCTGCCGTTCAGAAGGAAAACCTCACCATCTTTAAAGGTTCTCCCAACTCCGGCTGCAAAGAACATCTGATTTGCAGAACGGTGCAAATCCCAGCTTGCCCTGCCAGTAAACCCATGTACGCCGTGTTCACATCAGGTTCGTATTAAGCATGTACAGTAAGCACTGGATTGGAAGATTAAGTGGTTTGCACACATCGCAGCTGCAGAAGGGAGGGCCCCGCCGCTGTCCCTGCCGATGGCACTGCACTAGACCATGACCTACAGGAGGGTTGGGTGAGACACTGCTGTGTGGTCCTCCTGCAGCTGGGCAGCCTCGGTCCACTCGCCTGTGCCCTTGACCACCTCCCGGCGAGCCTGAGCTGCACCACCGCACGCCACCAGGAGGGGTAGAGTGTGACAACAAGAACCATCTGCCCCAACTCCAATGCTCGGAACCAGTGTCCTTTCCTCGCCTGGTGTTTCCCTCCCCGCCAAGCCATTCGCCTTTTTGTTAGTTTGACTCGAACCAGTCCAATGACAACACTGGCTGCTGTGGGGTTGGCAGGCAGGTTGCGTTGTGTAGCTTCAGTCAGTATTCTGCAGGACTTTGAGTCGGGGAGAGACCACAGGCAGTTGTAAGCTGGGTTCCTAAGGAACCAACACTGTTGCCTTTTGACTAAAATTCAGACCAGAGAGACTGCACTGAACGGAAGGGGAACTCGGGTTTGAAGCCTCTCCCAGGCCAGTTCTCCCCCCACAAGCGAAGACTTGCCCGGGACACTCTAACAAGCACATGGTCCGTGGAACGAACGTTTTTTGTGAGGCAGGCGTGTGTTGGGGGGCTGGGAGTGGGGAGGGCCTCAGCCACCAGCAGGGATGCCAAGTGAAGTGGCTGGGAAGAGCCATGTTGTTAAAGTGTATGATTCATTAAGTCTTGTCTGGGTGTCAGATGTTCGGCATTGGATGCTATTGCCTCCAATTTAAATCATTTTTAAAGAAGTGCCGGGAAAGGCGCTGAAAGGCCCCTCGCCCCGTTCCCTCGCTTGAGCAACACTGTCTGCCTGTGCGCTGTGGTGAAACTTTGCATTTTGGCTAGACATCCCGTGTGCAGCCACGCTGGAGCGCGGGTTTTTTTTTTTTTTTTTTTTTTTTTTTTTTGAGTTTGTACAGTCACCCACAGGCAGGAAGAGAACAAAGTATTTCTGCAGCCAGAGTCCCTCCCGATGGCATGTGGGGGGAAGAGGATGCTACTGCAGCGAGCACACCCCTCACAGCACAGCCTGCAGGTCATGGGCAAGGTCACCTCTTCCAAGGACCTCCAGGCTGCACCTTGCTACAGGAATCCTCATCTCCCAGAATCCTTTGCAGAGCCCTCGGAAAGGCTGGAGCTGCAGATCTGGGTTTATCATCACCAGTGAGGAGTGAGGCTAATGTTGCTACCACACCCTGGATTCCTGCCAATGTCCAGTGACCTTATGGAGACTCCACACACATGGGTTCCTGGGTGCCCCTCAAATGCCTCTGAAGGGTGTCATTACCGCTCCCTCTTCATGCAAAAGCGGAGGGTACATGTCACATGGACTAACCTTGAAGACATTGATGCTCAGTGACATAGGCCAGACACAGAAGAACAAGTACTGTGTGATTCCACTCATCGGAGGGCACAGAGAAGGCAGATCCACAGAGAAGGAAGGAAGAGTGGTGATGGCCAGGGGCCGGAGCAGAGGGAAATGGAACTCGGAGTTAGTGTCATGGGGACAGAGTTTCTGTTTTGCAAGCTGAAAAGAGTTCAGGAGAAGGCTGGTGGGATGGTTGCACGACAATGTGAATGTACTTCGTACCACTAAACTGTGCACCTGCAAATGGTTCCGATGGTGTATTTCATGGTACGTGTATTTTACCGCAATGTGCAAGGCTGATGCGGGTCAGAAAGCAGTTAGGGAGGACTCCAAGGTCCTCCCCAGGTTAAGTGTGAATTAGCATCCACCAGTGAACTATGGTTTTCAGGGGTGTCAATCTGAGACTTTGGCCTCCATACTCCCAAGCATTTTTGGACAGGCGTGTTATAAATTGTATTAGAAGTGCCATCCTCACAGATAGAAACTTCCCCAGTTCCTCAGGCTGTTGACGACCCACGCCTTTAGCATGAGACTGGAAGATAAGTAGTAAGACTTAGTCGAAAGGTTAAGGCTGTTGTATTCCTACGATTTAAGGAGAACGCAGCCAGGCTGGAGGTTTGGCTGGGAAGTCAGCAGACACTGGCAGATAAAAACCACCCAGGCCATTTGAAATGGAACTGCTCCAAGAAATATTAATGATGCTCATTCGTTTGCCAATGTACAGATTGTCAAATAGTTTCACAAACAGAAACCACACAGTCCTCCCAGCAACCCCGTGACTAACGGCCCTGTGAGGGTCTGTGACGGACCAGTTGTCATCTTTGCCTTTTGCGTTATTTTATCTCCAGAGATTTAGAGAAGCCAAGACCACTTGGGCTCGTAAGTAGAGGAGACACGATTTGAAGGCAGGATTGTTTGTTGGCGTGCTTGTTTGTGGTACCAGTGTCTTTTAGCCCCAAATTCTGCACTTTTCCGTTTTCCCTAATATAATCAAAGGCGAAAGGAAAGAAGAATAGAATCCTAAGAGTTTCTAGGTGATGTATGGGTTTAAGGCCTTCCAATAAGTTGAAATAGCATCTCAGTAATTCCCATCTCTCCTAGGCTTTGGGAAATATCCTTTTGGTAGGAAATCACAACCAAAATCAAGACCCTCAACTAAGTCTGACCGACGTGGCTCAGTGGTTGAGCATCAACTTCTGAACCAGGAGGCCATGGTTTGATTCCAGATTAGGGCACATCCCCAGGGTTGAAGGCTCAATCCCCAGTAGGGGGCATGCAGGAGGCAGCTGATCAATGATTCTCTTTCATCATTGACATTTCTATTCTCTCTCCCCCTCCCTTTCTCTCTGAAGTCAATAAAAATATATTTTTTAAAAGACCCTCAACTAAAGCACTCATGTATATAATACTAAGACTTTCTTCTTTCTGCCATTATATCATGTTTTTAGCAGAACAACATACATGTGGAGCAGAAATAAATACAATTTAAAAAACCCCACATACAATAAAAAACCTAGCACTAGTTTCCTCACCTAATCAGGGATGGCCAGTCACTGGGGGGTTCATTTCTTAGGTCAGCTGTTGTACCATCATCTGAAAACGCAAACTCAATGTACCTTCCCCTTCTCTCTTCTTTCCCGAATGCGGGTGTCCCTCCAAACTCACCTTTCCTACAGAGTGACTACTGGCAGAGCTCCCCAAATCACAGACCCTCTAAGCCGGAAGGAGCCCAGACGCAGACCCCCGCAGCTCTGTCCTTAATCCCTTCCAGACAAATGAGATACGATTTCAAAAGATCTTCAGGAAACACAAGTCCCTTCCTACCGTGGTGACTGGTTTTGAAGCTTTGCTCGCAGGATCAGCAAGACCTTCATTATCATTGCTCTCAGGTTCACCCGGCTGCAGTTTCACCCTCTTAGAAACGCCGCATGTCCAGCTTTACAGAAACCTCTCAAACATACAGCTATATTTGTTACAAAATAATAAGCATGTTCTACAGAAGAACAGTCTTTAATGATGACTCATCCTAATATATTTAAAATATGATTCTGTATAGGAGTATTTGCCATCTAGAAAACTCCCAAGACACAATTAGGGAATGAGGTTAAAGACCTTTGCGCATGGGAATATATTTAGACGGTGCTTTCCCGGTGTCAGATTCATCTCGCTGTCCCTATTGCATGCTGAAGGAAGCAAATAAAATTTCCTAGATGCATCCACGGCGATCGGTCTTTGCTGGTCTGTAAGGCATGTGCGTCTGTCCATGAGTGACTCCATTCCAAATGCATAGACGTGTCTGTGCATGAGTAGAAAGATAAGCTTAGCAATTGTGTGATTTGTTTCTGCTTAGGCAGTGAGTTACTAATCTCCTGATTGGAACCAGATTTGTATGAATTAGGAGTTGAAATTGGAACAGGCACTGCTGTGTGCAGGATGTAAAGTGAATAAAATGAATGGGGTATTAACCTTCAGCCACTGAATATTAATCAGCTTTTCCTAAGAAAGAAAACACAGACCTTGCCACACTAAATATTTTTGGCGCTTATTGACAGGATATGACTTCTTTTCTGCTTCAGCCCTGTTACTTCTCGGCGAGGACCCGACCACCAGACAATGGTCAACTTGACCCAGACTAATGTATGACTTGAAAAACCCCAGGTAACTTGGGTGGGTCACACTCGAACGTGTGGGACCCGATGAAATGATATGCCCATATCCACAGCAAGGCTGGCTTCCAGTCCTCCTGCCAACATGGGCCAAGCTAAGCCCAACGGGAATTCACGGAAGGAACGTGGACAGGAAGCCTGGATGACCACCAAGTGAACATGTGAAGGGAGCACATTTCCCATCACCCTGGAAAGGACTCATGATTGGGGAATGATTCTGTTTGGCTACTAGTATTTGGATGAGACCTGCATCTACCTCCAGGGGAGTAAACAAAGAAAATACGTAGCATAATAATGGAATCTGGGTGAAAACAAAACGTGTAGTAGTTCTTTTTATCTTACGCGATATTGGGAGTGCTTTTGTTCGGGAATGTAGTCTTGGATTTATGTCCGTATAATGAAAACATATTTATATCACTTTCTACATTTACCCATATATATATATATATATATGTATGTATATACACACACACACACACATATATATATACATATATATATCCATAACTACATATAAACATAGAATATGTAGTGTATGTATATGTATGTGTGTATGTATATGTGTGTATGCATATGTTATGTCACCAAAGACAGGGCAGTGGATCCTTATTTCCTGAAGATATTTTCAAACAGCATATATATTTATATCAATAACATGACTTATAGCCCAGCCAGTGTGGTTCAGTGGCTTAGTATCCACCCATGAACTAAGAGGTCACTGGTTTGATCCTGGTCAGGGCACATGCCTGGGGTTGCAGGCTCTATCACCAGTAGGGGGCATGCAGGAGGCAACTGATCGATGATGTTTCTCTTTCAGAGATGTTTCTAACTCTATCCCTCTCCCTTCCTCTAACTGTAAAAATTAACAAAAACCTATTTAAAAAATAAAATAAAACTACTTACATAGTACCACACAGAGCATATATTGTGGAGCTAGGCTTACGTGGCAACTGGGCTCGATTTAAAAAACGAAAGAGAATAAACAGGGGAAGGGAAAGATTTCTTCCCTACCCAACTCATGCAGATCCCTTCTTTATTTTCAAAGCTATACTTCAGATGAGAGCAGTGTTTATTTCTGTGGATTGTATTATTTATACGTCAGTGGTAGCTCTCAACCAAAGACTTACCAGAGGAGTTTGAAGTAAATGATGTTCCTCCTTGGTGATCTCTCATTTTCTTTTTTCCAATAGGTGACCTTTCTCTCTCTCTCCCACCTCGCTTAGATCCCCACTACCCTCATGTGTCCTCTGCCAAAAATGTTTAACCCTTGATCCCAAACACGGAAGTAATCGCCCATGTAATGTGCCATTTAACATTTAAAAATATATATATATATATCACCCTATTTCCCTTTAGATGGCAGTGATACTGGAAATCCACCCATTAAACTAATTCCATGAAGATGCTGCTGATGAGAATAGTTTAATATGTTGCCCTGGAAGACAACTCCTTAGACAGAATTCTCTTCCCAACTCATGATCCCCAGCCCTCGGTTTTTCAGTCAAACGCTAACCCAGTTGCTGTGGTAAAGGGCCTTTATAGAGAAAATTGAGGTTACTACGCAGCTCACCTGAAAGTAAAGAGAAGACTCTGGGTTTTAAGGAGGTGCGTGCAATGTAATTTGATGAGCCCTTAAAAGAGGAGGCAGGCAGAGCAAACACAAGAGATGGTGGCAGAAGTGAGCACAGAGAGGAGGCCAAAGCGGGGGCGGAGGGGCACCCAGAACTTGAATTTTGTCCTGATTTGCTGTTGCTGGCTTTGAAGGAGGAAGGGAGCCTTGAACCCCATCCCATTACAGCCGCCAGGAACTGATTTCGACAGTTGCTTGGACTTGAAAGGGGTTCTACCCCGAGCCTCCGGTAAGCAGCACGGCCCTGCCAACACCTCGACTTCAGTCCGGTGAGACCCACAGTGGACTTGTGACCTGCACGGACCATGAGGTATTCCTTTGTGTTGTTTTAAACCAGTACGTTTATGGTAACTTGTCAGGGCAGCACTAGAACTAAAGCAGGTAACCACCAAGGTCCTGAGAGAAAATGTGATTAATCCCAATGAAGAAATCTCAAGTGAGCCCCAGAATAGCCTGGGAAAGTGGGTCTGGGTTGGGGGAGAAAAAGATGGCTGCAGATAGGGCATCCCAAATCTCATCTCCAGTCTCCCTAACTTTACAGTTGCCTTTAGGAAATCATAGCTCCTCCCCTCAACAGCCTGGCTATAGTGTGGTGAACACTTCTGCTAGTATAATAAAGTGTTGGCAAAAAAGAACTTTGCAAGGGTGACTTGGAGGTAATAGAAGTTAAGGGGCACCTCCCATTAGCTTTTCTACATATTGTCATAGCATCTTAGCCAGTCCAACTTCCACTGAAGATCTCTGTCCCTCAGAGACATTAAACGGCTTTGCTAAGGTCATATAGCTACTCAATAGTAAATCAGACACTGGTGTTCAAGTCCTCTAATGTCTTCTCCTAAGTTCCCCATATTATTTCTCTGAACTCCTACTTATGGAAACTAGCTGAAATAAAGAAAGCACACTTAGTACATATGCCATAAGACCATATGCTATGGTAGTCCATGGAAAGGGAATATAGGTATTTACCAGGATCATTTGTAGCCCAAGTTACATCATCAAAAAGCAATGCTGGTTGTCTGACTCACTGATAACTTCTCAAACTAAAAAAATAAAAGCAAACAAACAACAACAACAAAAAAACCAAGATATCCAGATACTAGAGACAAAGAAGATTTTGGTTTAGCTTTACCTAAATGGATGCTCCCATCATTCTCTATTGCACTTTTCCCAAGATTTCATGCCCACTTCTTAACATTAAATAGCCCTGGTATTAACAAGCCTGAGTCCGCCTTCCCAGATAATATCAATTTGTAATCCTGGAAGGCAAACCAAAAAGCCCTAGGAAGAAAATAGAATGAGTCAGCATGCATGTTGAGAATGGAATCTAGAAACTCAAGATGCAACTGCCCAAATAGCTGGAGGAAGCCTTATTTGGAAGCTGTTAGCATCCTGACCCCCTCCCCACCCAACTGAATTCCATTGGCATTGCCAGTATCCTCCCTTTGGTCTACGGGGTTTCTCCCTTTCTGTCATTCTCAACCCAACCAGACTCCCAAATCCTGGGGCAAATAACTGTTGCCGTCTGCTGGGTTTCAGAACCAGACCACAGATCCAGCCCTAGTCCAAGTCACCTCGTCAGAACCTCCAGAAGGAAGGTTCAGTAGGTTTCCTCCATCCTGGCTGAAAGCTCCCAGCACTTGGAGGGAACCCTGAAAAGAGGTGGGATGGTTTATGCAGCATCTTGGCTGAGATGTTAAAGAAATGAGAGGCCCCTCCCTCCACTTTTTGGAATGAGATCCCTAAAGAAGCGACATGATCTGGAAAGCGTCCTTCAAATACAAGGAGTGTGAAATGTCCATGTTAGGCAGTTCTGTAAATAATTTAAGCTTCAGTCTGAGAATTGCATCTCAGTCTGATAGCCCATACATCTCTAGCTGAGCTTAAGATAAATACCTCAGTGGCTAGAGGAAAAGGTAGAGCCCCCTTGGAGATTGCTAGAGAAGAGAGAATGCACTTGGACAAAGAGATGCAGTGGCATCAGACACCTCTCCACCTTGCTTCCCCCTACACTGTCCAACTCTGACATCACCTACTCTCTGCATTAGAAAGGCCTGGTCGTGGAGAAGGCAAAGATGGAGGAAGAGGAGGAGAAGGAACAAGAGGGGGAGTTAGAGGAGAAGCAGGAGGGAGATGGGGAGGAGGAGGAAGAAAAAGAAGGATACCTTCATATTTATCTAGTTAGCTTTGGCCAGAGGCGGCCACACAAGGCTCCTGGGATGCCACCATTGATTAGCCTCTGGTCCTCTCTACATTATGATTCAATATTCTTTCGGAGCCAAGAGTAAGAACAACCCCTCCAATACTGACATTGGCAGGCTAGGCAGCTCTCTAGCCCCGATACACAATACAGCACACAATCATAACCTCCAAACAATACACCACACAATAGTAACCTCCAGCACCTTGCCATCGCTCTTTCTGTGTCAGAGACAGCACTACATGAGTTCTCATGACCAGATACCTAAAGGTAGCTCTTGTCCCTTAGACGACCTCCTTGCTAGGTCACTTCCAGTGCAACATTTTTCCGTTGCTCTATAGGAGTATAGAAAGTGGCCAGCTTCGAAAAATAGGCATTTCCTCAACCTGGGAAGTCTTTCTAGAAGTCTGGAGAGATTACAGAGTGAGCATGTTCTGTCCTTGGGGGCACAAGGGCTCAGAAAGGAAAGAAGGGAGTGAAGGTCAGAGCCCCTCTCCTACTGCTGTACAACCCCATTCCAGGAGGAGGGACCCAGGATGGTTAAAATACTGTTTTTGCAGCTGTCACACAAATGCTATTCAAAATTCCTCTCCTGTAGCCCAGGATTTAATGCAAATTGTCCACATCACGGAGGGTCAAAATGATAATTTAGGTGCAATTAGCCAGATGTGTCAGAATGACATGTGTTCCCCCCCCCAAATTATCTGAATAATTTACACATACATAATCACCTTACTCCAGTGGGAAATAGTATGTATGCCCTTGTTGATTTCACCCAAACACCTAGACTTTCCAACAGTGTTATATCAAAAAAGGGCCCAGTCCAGGGAAGCAAATAAGATAACTCTGTGAGGCCAAGCTGTCTCTCTTTTAAATGCAGACAGAATTAATGTGTTTTCATTAACTCCTTATCAAGTTACCTGACTTTGATTCCCAGCACAGAATGTATTTAAAAAAGGGGAGGGGGTGATGGCAGTAGATTTTCAGGAAATAGCAAGTTCTTTTTCTACTGAGATAAAAATCATTTGGCAAGCCAGGGTGAAATACTTCTACTTTGCAAGAGAGAGAGAGAGAGAGAGAGAGAGAGAGTTTTAGAAGATGCTAATGAACCACAGAAGAAAAAGAAGGAAGCATATATTTTTTTAAATGAGCCCTTACTTTTGAAAACAGCTCAGTTTGCAGCTAACTTTTGAAGGAATGTCAACGTTGTTCCTTTGAGAGCTATGTCGGAGCTGAACCAGGCCTTAGGAGCCTGCAGTTAACAAGTGGGCAATTCAGGTGACTTTAATTAAAGGGCCTGGCTCCTCAGCGCTGACCTCTCTGGCGCATCCTTTCATCTCCATAAAGGATGAAACCCCTAAGAACCAGTGACATAGGGCGGAGGGAGGGGCTCCCGGAGCCTGGCGGCCAGGCTACAGTGTGAGGAGTCTGGGTCAAGGTGAAGAGTTGGGAAATCAGCCTGTTCTTATAATTCCACATTTGAAGGAAGGGGAGACATCCCACAGGCTAGTGAGAATGGAACCAACAGATGACTCCCTCTTCATAGAGAGCCTTCAGAACCCCATGGCCCCAAGGTAGCCATCCTCACTGCATTCTCCAGTATTGAGGTGCCACTGGGACAAGAGATGGTAAATGCAGGACTTTTAACTAGGTCCTAAGATCCCTTAGCTAGCCTTTGTCAGCCAGGTATCCTTGGGAAATATACTGGAGCTCTCTAAACCTCAGATTTCTTAGCTATGGACTTAGCATCGTAATTCCAATCTTTCTCATTGCCGTGGAGGGGAGGTATACAAACAGCAGTGACACCCTCCCCCCCCCCCCAGTACTCTCTACCAGCAGGCATGTTGCCTGACCTTTCTGAGGGGGTGTACCCCTTCCAGAAAATGGGGATGAGAGTACCCCCCTTCCAGCCTGGGGTCAGGATGCAACAAATCCGCCCCATAGAGCTCCTAGCAGGTAACTGCACTAAATACATAGCAGTTTTTTGATGTAATCATTGTGATCATCCTTATATTAATGAATATAATTAGTAATTAATACAGGGTGGGGCAAAAGTAGAGTTCCGAGTACATGAAACGTAAGTTCTGAGTAGAGTACATGAAACATAAGATTTGTTTCTTGTATCCTTATTTATTATTGTGTTATTTTCCATACAAACAACTGTCCACCTACTCTTGCCCCACCCTGTACAATTAATAAATTGCATAGGACCTAGTATGAATTCAGTTAATCTTACCTGCTTCCCTTGCACTTGGTGGAAGGGAGTGAGGTCACCCAGAATAGCATTATCTGTAATCAGCAAGGTGGCCAACCAGGTACGAAGAGAAAAAGACTCAAAAAAAAAAAAAGTTTGCTCTAGACCCATTTATGGCAAGACATGTCTGGCTCCTTCAGATGCCAGGGGTTTTTTCCATCCTGCAAACACATGGCTTCCATTAGCTGACTGATACTGACACATCCGAGGCTTCCAAAGCACTCGGGGCCTCCAACGAGTGAAAGGTTTGCATGCCCAACAAGGGAAAGGCAGGACGTGCAGGCATGGAAACGCTGCCAGGGGCGGGGCCGCAGAGGTGTTGAGTTTAGGTAGGAGACCAGATCTGGCTCTGTTTTTAATGACCATCCTGTCCACACCTGAAAATAAACTAGCCACACCTGTGAGATTCCCGGCGCTCTGGAGCTCTGACGAGATGTCAGTGTGCATACACAGCCTCCATTAATCAGGGTGAGCATTGCGCAGTGCGTGCTAAACCAGGGAACAGCGAATAACCGGCAGCGTGCACCCCCCACCTCTGCTGAGCTCTCTAATCCAAAGCAAACCCCAGCTCCAATGCTCTGCTCCCTTTAATTTGAGTTCTGAAGACAGCAGTGTTTGGTTGGCTTCTCAGAAACAGGCCTGAATTCTAATTAGTTTGCAGTTAGAGGCCGCGTAATGGTAACTCAACCCTTGCCTAACCTTTATCATCTGTTGCCCATCTTCAAAGCTGCACGGTCCACTTTTGTGCTGCACAACAGTAGGCCAGGGACCTCATTGGTGTTTGCTGTCTCATAGCAACAAGTGCTATTTGAAAGAGGTGAAAGGCAGGGGTGAAAGATCCCCGGCCTGAGAAGTTCGGGACAACTCTTTGCTCTGAATTTCATCCCCAAAGGGATGAGTCCAAGGAAATGAGGCTTTGTGTCCCTGATTACAGAGGGGATCTACTTAGCCCAGTCCTGTTATCTCTCAAAATGTGTGCGGCTTCAGACTGTGCAGTAAGGTGAGCAAATAAAACTGTGATGAAAGCTTAATGAGGGCACATTTGCCTAATCCTTGGAGCTGATATCTGTGTTTTCACATATTCCAGATGACTGGGTTCTTTCAGTGGCCTTACGAATTAGGTGAGCAGTTACTATTAACCCATTTTACAGGAGAGGAAAGGAAGGCTGAAGAAGGTCAGCTCTGTCTCACAGCTTCACTGACTAATTCTCTTACCTTGAGCTAGTTCCTTCATCTCTGTGTTCATGTGTCCTCACCTGTAAAATGGTGGGGGTTGGGGGCAGGCAACAGTCATTATTTCCTGAGTTGTTAGGTTTACTGTGTTAATATATGTAAAAGTCTAAAATTCTTAAAGACCATGTGTGACATAGAAAGTGTTCAATATACGTTGGCTATCGTGACTACAAAGGAAGGTAAAAAGTTGAAGATGTGGCACCCAAGAGCCTTAGGGATGAGAATATCCATGGGGAGATGACCTGGGCTGAATTGAAAGCTACCTGAAACCTTGGGTTTCTGGTGCAAAAACCCTACAAGGCCCAGGCAAGCTGGGACAGCTGGTCACCCTACACTCCACATGTACTCAATCTATTCCATTTCGCAAATGAAAGAGGAGTTACAAGTTTACACAGCTATCCAGGCTGGTTGAGATTTTTTTAACCTATGCCAGTGATGGCGAACCTTTTGAGCTCAGCGTGTCAGCATTTTGAAAAACCCTAACTTAACTCTGGTGCCGTGTCACATATAGAAATTTTTTGACATTTGCGACCATAGTAAAACAAAGACGTATATTTTTGATATTTATTTTATATATTTAAATGCCATTTAACAAAGAAAAATTAACCAAAAAATGAGTTCACATCTCACCTCTGACACGCGTGTCATAGGTTCGCCATCACTGACCTATGCTTTTATTTTGTTGCTGTTGTTTTAATTTTATTAAATTTACTAGAGGCCCGGTACATGAAATTCATTCACGGGTAGGGTCCCTAGGCCTGGGCAGCGATCAGGGCTGATCAGGGCCTTCCAGCTGCCAGCCCAGGCCTACCTTCCCCGGCTGCTGGCTACTGGCCAGGGCCTCCCCTTGTTCTGCGCCATCCCCTGATGGTCAGCACATATCATAGTGAACAATTGAACTCCCGGTCTCCCAGTCAAATCCCGAGGGGACACTTTGCATATTAGCCTTTTATATATATAGATTGGGGTGACATTGGTTAATAAAATTATGTAGGTTTCAACTGTATAACTCTATAATACATCATCTGTATATTGTATTGTGTGTTCATCACCCCAAATCAGGTTTCCTTTCATCACCATAAATTTGAGCCCCTTTACCCTTTGCTACCTCCCCTCCACCCCCTTTCCCTCTGATGCTACCACACTGCTATCTGTTCCAGTGAGGTTTTATTTGTTTGTCTTATTTGTATGTCTTATTTGTTCCTTTGTGGCTTTCAGTCTTATATCCCACATATGAGTGAAACCATGTGGTTCTTGACTTTTCCCATCTGATTTATTTCGCTTAGCATGATATTCTCAAGGTCCATTCATGTTGTCACAAATGGCAGTGTAGTATTATGGCTGAGTAGTATTCCACTGTATATACGTACCATGTCTTCTTTATCCAGTCATCTATCGAAGGAGGCTTCGGTTGTCTTAACCTGTGCTTTTAATCCATTATAAGATACTGGCTACAAAGAGCTTCTCCCTAGGGGGCAAAGTCATAGCATATCAGCAAGTGGGGGAAGGTGGCTGCTGCTCTCTCTGAGAAAGGGTTCAGTGCTCTCCCAGATGGTGTTTCTCTGTTGTCGATGCTGTTCTTATTCTGTTCCACTGTTGTTATACTTCCAAGTGATCTGAGGCAGAATCTGAAATGTTAATTCACAGACTTTTAGAAAGAGATTTATTTTGATAAAGGAAATATACTGAACACGTTTAAAAATTTATTATACATGCTGGAGAAAAGTTCAGTTCCATGTCCATTAAGGTTAAGAACAAGACAAGATAACCACGGTCACTATAGCTCTAACATTATATCAAAGTCATGTCCAATGCTGTGAGACAAGAAACATATGAGCTGTAGGGTCTGAAAGAAAGTTGTTATTTTTTTAAAAAAAATACAGTCGACATGCAATATTATATTACTTTCAGGTGTACAACATAGTGATTCGACATTTATATTCCTTCCGATGTGATCACAGTAAGTCTAGGAGCCATCTGTCACCGCACAAAGCTGTTACTATCTTATTGACTATTTTCCCTGTGCTGTACATTCTAGCTTCGTGACTTTTTTCTCACATTCTATCTAGCTTCATGACTTTTTTCTTAATAACTTGAGGTTTATACCTTTTATTCCCCTTCACCTTTTGCACCCATTTCCCTACCCGCTTCCCTCTTGAAATCATCAGTTTATTCTCTATGAGTCAGTTTCTTTTTTGTTTTTATTTGTGTGGGTTTTTTACATTCCACATGTAAGTGAAATCCTATGATATTGTCTTTTCCTGTCTGACCTATTTCAGTTAACATAATACCCTCTAGGTTAGGGGTCCTCAAACTACGGCCCGCGGGCCACATGCAAATACAAATATTGTATTTGTTCCCGTTTTGCTTTTTTACTTCAAAATAAGATATGTGCAGTGTGCATAGGAATTTGTTCATAGTTTTTTTTTTTAAACTATACTCCGGCCCTCCAGAGGTGTGTATTTCTTTTTGAGTGAGTGCTTTTATTTTCTTCAAATAAGTACCCAGAAGTGGAATTGCTGGGTCATGTAGTAGTTCTATTTTTAAGTTTTTTGAGGAACCTCCATACTATTTCCATAGTGGCTGCACCAATTTACATTTCTACCAACAGTGAACAAGGGTTCCCTTTTTTCCACATCTTCACCAACATTTGTTATTTGTTGACTTTTTTTTATAATAGCTTTTCTGACAGGTGTGAGGTGATATTGTGGCTTGGATTTGCATTTCCTTAATGATTAGTAACATTGGCCATATGTATGTCTTCTTTGGAGAAATGTCTGTTTAGGTCCTCTGCCCATGTTTTAATTGGATTGTTTGTGGGGGTTTTTTATGTTGAGTTATAAGAGGTCTTTATATATTTTGGATTTTAACCCTTTATTGAGTATATCATTTGCAAAATATCCTCTTCCATTCAATTAGTTGTCTTTCATTTTGTTGGTGGTTTCCTTTGCTGTGCAAAAACTGTTTCGTTTGTTGTAGTCCCACTTCTTTATTTTTTTCTTTGTTGCCCTTGCCTGGGGAGACATATCCAAAAAGATATTGCTGCCCTAACCGGTTTGGCTCAGTGGATAGAGTGTCATGTCAGCCTGCGGACTCAAGAGTCCCAGGTTCCATTCTGGTCAAGGGCATGTATCTTGGTTGCGGGCACATCCCCAGAAGGGAGTGTGCAGGAGGCAGCTAATCGATGTTTCTCTCTCATCAATGTTTCTAACTCTCTATCCCTCTCCCTTCCTCTCTGTAAAAAATCAATAAAATATTTTTTTTTTTTTAAAAAAGATATTGCTAAGACCAATGTCAAAGATTTCACTGCCTATGTTTTCTTCTAGGTGTTTTATGGTTTCAGGCCTTACACACAAATCTTTAATCCATTTTGAGGTTGTTTTTGTGTATGGTATAAGAAAATGGCCCAGCTGGGCTGGCCTGGCTCAGTGGTTGAGTGTTGACCTATGAACCAGGAGATCACGGTTCGATTCGGGGTCAGGGTACATGCCTGGGTTGCTGGCTCAATCCCCATTGGGTTGGGGGCATGCAGGAGGCAGCCAGTCAATGACTCTCTTACATCATTTATGTTTCTATTTCTCTCTCCCTCTCCCTTCCTCTCTGAAATCAATAAAAATACATTTTTTAAAAAGTGATCCAATGTTATTTTTTGCATATACCTGTCCAGTTTTCCCAACACCACTTATTGAAGAGACTGTCTCTTCCCACTATCTATTTCTTCCTCCATTGTTGTAGATTAGTTGACCATGTACGTGAGGATTAATTTCTCACTTTCTATTTTACTCCGTTGATATATGTGTCTGTTTTGGTGCCCGTACCATGCTGTTTCATTACTGTAGCCTTGTAATAGTATTTAAAATCAGGGAGCATGATACTTCCAGTTTTGTTATTTTTTTGTCGAGATTACTTTGGCTACTCAGGGTCTTTGTGGTTCCATGTCAATTTTAGGATTATTTGTTCTAGTTCTCTGGTTAATTCACAGACTTTTAGTGTTTTTTTTTTTCATTCTATCTTTGAGGAAAAAAATAACATTGACATTCATATTAGCAACTCTAAGAGAATCAAGACTTGATTCTCTAAGAGATGAGTTCTATGAGATTGTTTCTCTGTCTCCCCCTCAAAAGAAATCTTAGCTAGCAGTGATTTTCTATGAATTACAGTGACTCTCAAAGGGCTTTATCTTAGCTCCTAAATACTTTCCAAATGTATTTCAAGCCTTCACATCCCCTACTCTACTGCATCTATAAAACAGGCTCATAGAGTGGAATCCATGGTTGTATGAACCACCCCCTCTAGTTATAATGAGGCCCAGGGAAGAAGGGTTTACATGGAATAAAGGACTTCCCCCTTCCCGAAATAATTGTTCGTGAACGGATTTACTTAAGCAAGAGCTTAAGTACATCTCAACAGACACCAGGGATCGTAGCTGCAAAACGAACACGGCATGAATTTAAGGGCTACTTGGGGACACTCTGGATTCCCAAAGCAAAGTTGACTTTCTTGATTTGGTGGAGGAACAGGGCCAATTGGGAGTTGAGACTGATTCTGTTTTTCATGAGCCGTTTTGTCTGTGGACATGCCCCACAAATTAAAACACACATTTAAAAATCTCTAGGTGTGAGATGATGAAAGCTTCAAATCTGCTCATTAGAAAAATCACAAAAGTGTTGGATGACAGCCATGCTGTTAGGAGGATTTTATTTTCCTTTTAAAAATCCTAGGGGTTGCTGGGCTCATAAAGAATCCTTGATTCAAATAAAAAGTGAGAGTTTTTGGAGAGAGTCATTCTCTTTGATATCAGATGTATTTTCGTCTATAATTTTCTCCTCTGACTTATGTGGATGTCTAGGCTTGATTCCATCTACCCATTTAATTTCTAATTTCATTTTTAAAAAGCCTGTTTTTTTTGTTTATTTTTGTCCAAACTAAGTGTAATCTGTGAGCCTTCTAGCTCTTCTACCCATCCCAACTTTCCAAACGTTGTATCAGAATGCCATGTGGCATAGAAAATCTATGCTGGTCTTGACAGGTTGGAAATTGCATATTCACAGCGAGAAAATTAAGTTACTAGTCCCAAAGACAGCCACTTACCAAACCGTAATTTTAAAACCCATCATCACTCTAATTTACTGCAAGTAAGTGAAGGGGAAAAGAAAAGTTAATACAAATAAGCCCTGAGCTACAAGTTTAAAAATTAAGGGAGAAAGTTTCCCACAAAACAAATTTTCATGTACAAGCTAGTTGCAGAATTCGATAAAAGTTAGCATTCAATATAAGCTCATTTGAAAACAACCAAAAAAGAAAAAAACAAAAACAAAAACAAAATCCAGAAACTTGAGCTGAATTTACATATTGTTACTTCCCTCTATTTCTTGAAGCTGAAAAGGCTGGTGATTATTCAGGGAAAGTTTGATAACCAAGCATTTGATCACAGACCAAACATTTGAATATCACATTCCCACCAACCCAACATACAGATGAGAACATTGAGGACCTTCTTGTGTTACTACTCATGGTCCTTGTTTTTTAAAAGTTTGGTCAGGGATTTATAAAGATAATATTTCACTTCATTGTAGCCATCATTCGACCAAAGAGACTTCCAACTTTCAATAAATAAATGTAAAACAAAACAGAAATAAATAATATTTATGGTCACAAATATTTGCTTCCCAGAACATTTGCAAAATGCTCTCTGTCGATTTCTCAATATTTATTTTGAATTTGTCCTATCACAAATCCTTAACACTCAGAAAACCAAGACCTAAAAGAAGTATTAATGTTCTATCCTCACCTACATAGAGAGAGAGAGCAATAACTTTGCAAATGAGCACACGTGAAGAAAAGAGAGAAAGCAAAGTCTACAACATGTCATGAAACAGATTCCGTACGTTCACTGTTCATGGAGAATGAACTCTTAAAAAATAACCCAAAAGGCTCAGATAATGGCAATACTTTTGGTTATTATTTCATTTTTATTTCCAACTCCTCATTAGTTCTATAGCTTTCTAAAAAGAATTTATTAGTAAATAAGAGTGGTGAGTTGGCAGTTGGCTTCAGGTCTGGCCATTCTACCTGAGCAATGAAGGAATAAATGACAGGGAGGCCGGCACAACTTGCTTCCTCCCGAGATGGTCTAATTACAAGGTAATGCTGGAAGTAGCTTCATTTGTAGATTAATTAGCTGATGCCCAGGCAGTTCTTTGAACATAAAAGGCAGAGTATAATTATTCATCCTCAAGCTAATGATCATTTAATTAGGGTTTTCTTCTTGTGTAATGGTCCATAAAGAGGAGGGCCTCTGGGGAAGGGGCTTCCACCATTGCCATGGAGAGGTTTGCGGTGATCTAACTAGAATGAGAAAACAGTGTTCAGTGTTCAGAGAAAGGTTATAAAATACATTGGAAATCACCCTCTCCTCTCCCAGTCACCGAGAGCCACGAGGGAATGGAAAAGGAAGCATGCCTTTTGGCATTGCTTGCGTATTTCTAGAATTAGGAATCAGAGTTTGAATTGGGCTAAGCCGAAGTCTTCTGGCAAAACCAAAGACCTACCTGAGGTGACGGTGATAGAGCCGAAAAGATGTTAACTCTCGGTGTTCATACGTGTTAGGAAGGGTCTTCTGTCCTCT